CTTCAGGCAGAAAATACAAAAGCACTCAGATAATACCTGAAAGACTGCATAAGGCTATTTTCCACTAAAAATTCTATTTACTGGGCCAGGTGTGGTGGTGCATACCCATAAGCCCAGCACTTGAGAGTCTGAAGCAGGATTGCCATGAGTTTGAAAGCAGCCTGGACTACATAGTGAATTCAAAGCTAACATGAACTACAAAGCAAGACCCTATCTCAAAAAAACAACAAAAATTTTTTTTTTCATTTACAAAAACAGGCAGCAGGCAGGACTTGACCTTCAGGCTGTAAAGTTAGATGATCTCTGAAATAATAAAGCAGAGCCAGACGTGGATGTGCATGCCTGTAAACCCAGCACTTGGGAGGCTGAGGTAGGAGGACTGCCAAGAGTTTGAGGTCAGCCTGGGCTAGTCAGTTCAAGGCCAACCTGAACTTTACAGTGAGACCTTGTCTCAAAACAAACCAACAAACAAATAAATAAAAAACTAAATTACTTTCAGTTAGGGAAACAAAATATGATTTATACTAAAGAAAGTGCACACCAGGCACTGTGGCACACATCTGTAATCCCAGCACCGTGGAAAGCTGAGGCAGGAAGAGCCTAGGTCTGAGCTCAGCCTGGGCAACTTTAGAGAGACCCTTTCTCCAAACAAAAAGTAAAGGCTGGGGATGTAGCTCAATGAAAAGGCCCTGGGTTCAAGCCACAGTACCACGGGGGGGGGGTCGCTAACTAAATTGAAACTATTGATAGAAAAATATATATTAATTTATACATCCATTACAGGGATGGAAAAACAAAACTCTTAAAGCCTGGGAATCATACTCTCCTCTCTCCTACCCCAAATAGCCCAAAGTCTACACAAAAACATATACAGGTGGGTAGGCAACTACAAATAGAATCTAAAAGATGTCTTTCACATTTCATTTTAATTTTTTTAAAATGTCACAATTCACCAATGAGTTGCTACCACGTTTTGAGGATTACAGGCACACCCAGCTTAAAGTGCCCTTTGATAAAGACAATCAAACTTCAGAATGGAAGAAGTTTATCATCTCTCCTCGAAAAATAAACCTTTCAGTTGAATTTAATATTTCACTGGGAAAAACTTGTGATCAAGTAATTTTAAATGTTATGATAGATTTCTCAGAGTTTGGGGGGGCTGACAGTGGGAATAAGTCTAAAAGTTTTCACACTAAAGCACCATTATACTAAAAACAAACAACAAAAACCAAAAATTTAAAAAACCTCCCAAAACCAAGCTGGATACTTAATCTAACAAAATTTACTGTGGAAACATCTCAAGAAGTTGTCAAATTCCAGAGGCAAACATTTAAATCAAGGTCAAAAAACAAGAGGTGAGGAAAAAATGTCTCCAATCTAAACTTTCTCACAGAAACCCCAAGAACTTAAATTTATAACCGTTATCAGCGATTTCAAAAGAACTACGGCTGAAAAGCTAAACAGAGCTTGGCAGAACAGGGCCCAAGACACTATCACAAGCAGGCTACCTGAAGCGCCACCTAAGAAAAGGTAAGGAAAAGCTTCCTATCCCAATCTCTGCAATACTAGTACCGAGCAGAGCCACCCAAAGCCTGCCTCCAAAGAAATTCCTAGAAGTGATAAAAGACACGGAAAAGAAGAAAGGACGGGCAGGGTCTGTCCAAGAGCAGTAAGTGCACTGCACGCGAAGGTGAGGAGACCTAGGAGGGCCGGGGCTCCGACCGTCTGCCCGCAGGGGCAAGAGCGCTGACCAGCGAGCGCTGGGCAAATGTGACAGCGGTGGCAAAAAGGGCGGGTCCAGGCCCTCGGGCCACCGCAAGCTCCTGCGAAACTGCAGAACACAGGCTGGGGGCCAAGCCCCGGGCCAGGACCACACGCGCCGTCCGGCCCGCGCCGGGTGCATCTGCCCCTTCAGCCCTCACCTCCTCCCCGACCCCGGGCGCGCAAAGAGCGGCGCTCGCACTCCAGAGACCCTCACCCGGAGCTTGTCGCCGCCTCGCCGCACGTCTCGGACTGCCAGGGAACCACAGCTGAGGGGGAAGGGGAGGAGGGGGAATGGAGGAGGGAGGGGACCCAACACGGCGTAGGCGCCGCAGCTGTCTCCACCGCGATAACGCGTCTGGATGTAGCTCGCGCTGCCACCACCGCCGCCACCGCGTCTGCCCGCCCCCACCACAGCACGGCGCCGTGACGCTCATCGCACGAGGCGGCTCGAGCCAATAAGACCACACACGGTGCGCAGCCGCACTGGCCCAAACCGGAAGCGGGCCCCTGTGTCCACTCTAAAAAGCCTCGTGCATCTTGGGAGTTGTGGTTCAGAAAGTCAACATAAACATTGTGGTAAGTCCAGGCGCTGAGGAAGTAGTTCTCCGCGCGCGCTCACAAAACTTGGTTTTTCTTTTCCTCCTACAAAAAAGGGAAGCAGTTTAAAGCTGTGCAAGAAGGGGCCACTCTGTCACCTAGACGCTTTTCCCAGTCTCTATGGATACGGTCCACACATAACGGCGGAACACAGAATTTAGGGGTTTGGGTTGGTGCGCCTGTTTCCACCAACGGCCAGTATAATGCTAGGCGTCATTTTGTGAATTCGAGAGCTTTAGTAAACTTGCCCGAACAGTAGCTCTTGATATTTATTACATTATTAACGTTTTATGATGTACGCCCTACTACTTCTTTAAAAAGTAAATCCGCTCTCTTTTAGCATATAATTCAGAATGATTTTAAATGATATCAAGGTAATGAAAGATCAGAAGCTATTGATTAACTGTGTCTCCATTTACCCAGAATGAGTGATTTTTCAAGTAAGCTTTAAATTAAGGTCTGGTTTCTTAGAAACCAATAACATGTAGTCATAAAACAGTTGGTTTTAGGGGCTGGGGATTTAGCTCAGTGGTTCCCGGTACCTGCCTCACAAGCACAAGGACCCGAGTTTGATCCCTGGTACAAAAAAAAAAAAAAAAAAGTTGGTGTTATATAAAATTGAGTTATTTGTCTCCTAAATTTAATAAAATCGCAGGCAAGAGGTGAGAGATAGATTGCTTATTGGAAATAATAAAAAGCTCTTGGGAATTATTTAAAGGGGATTCTGAGTGGAACTATGATGTACCTTTTTTGTTTAGGCCTTATAAAGAGCAGTAAGGACTTGTTTTAAACAGATGACTTTGTGAGTTTAGAGCCTAAAGAAAATTATAGGAACTGGGTTCAAAGGAAACTGAATTTCAAGAAGTTCTTCCAAGTCCAGCCCAGAGGTTAGAGTGGAGCAGTCATCTACTTAGCATACCTCCTGTTTTAACTTTTATCCTTTGTTGTTGTTTTGTACCAGGGTTAGAACTCAGGCCCTTCGGCTTGTAAGGCAGGGGATGGAACCACTGAGCCAAAGTCCTGCCTATCCTTTGTTCTTGTGTATTCATTTACATTTCCAAGCTTGGCTAGATGCTTGAATTAGTTCTTCACCTTGTAGGCTATTTTATCCAACTGCACCGTAGGCTACTCTGCCTGCCATAATAACTAAACTACTACACTTACATATTTCCTCTATTAAAAAATGGAAGGTTAGGGCAGGGGATTTGGCTCAGTGGGGCTGCCACCTGCCTTGTAAGCACAAGGGCCAAAGTCCAATTCCTGGTTCAAAAAAAAAGATGGAAGGATAGCTGGCCATAATTCCAGAGCTTGGGAGACTGAATTAAGATAATTGCAAGTTTGAAGTGAATTTGAGCTACAAAGAAGCCCTGCTCCCTAAAACAGAAAGAAAAGAAGTATAGACATTGGTTTGCAGAGAAAAAATGATTTCTTCACATTCAGTTGTAGGAGGAATTTATCACACTTAAAGGATAAATGTCTTACCTATCAAAATTCTTGATATTGATGAAAGGAAATCCATAAGCCTGGAGCAAGCCAGTGCCTGTGGCTTATTGTCTTTCCCTTTGGATCACAGCAAGGGATAATGGGGTGCTGGAAAAAGCTTCACAGATCTCATTATCTAAGAAGCCAGGATCTAATGTATAAGAGAAAAAAAAAATTCTGGAAATGTAAAGGTTTTGTTTATTTATTGGTTGGTTGGTTTGGTTTTGAGTTGTCTTTGGAGATGAGAGGCTCACTATGTAGTCTAGTCTGGCCTTGAACTCAACCATGCAGCCCAGGCTGGCCTAAAATTTTCAGTAGTCCTCCCTCCTGACTCCCAAATGCTGGGCTTACAGGCCTCTGCTAATAAATCCAGCTCTGGAAATTAAATTTTAAGATGTGATTAAAGTCACCAAAGTCCCAAAATATGACAATAATGGTCTCAACGTGTAATTAAGACCTACTCATTTAGGCCTTAAAAGACCTACAATTATTAAATTTAAAATGAGAGGAACTATATGTAAAAAAACTAATTCCCTTCAATTGGTAGTTTACATTGTCATCTTAAGTTTACTTAATTCATGAAAATCATAGCAATAATGACTTCTGTGTTTCCATTTAAAGACACAGGCTTTTGAGATGAAGGAAGACAATGTTACACTTAATACATCTGAAGCACAAGGCAGGTATCTGGGGTTTACAAATGTGATTCATAATACCAACTCACATAGGGCAAAGATGAGAAAAACAAGATTTTCAGGTTTAGTAAGATTTCTACTAAAGGTGACAAGGCTACAGAAAAAAAAGGCACAAAAGCAGATCTCAAATCTTTCCTGTATCCCTTTTTTTTTTTAATAATTCTGCTTGACAAAACCAAGGACATTATTCGAAAAGTAAACAGTACACATTGTATCAAAACAGGTTTATGAAAACCTTATTATTTTCTCTTTAATGTATTACAACTCATGTTCTGTCACCTTGGTCTCCTTCAAAGATAATATCTGGCAATTTCTGATATTCATATAATGATGAAATAAACTGCATCATTTCCTCAAAATGCTCATACCTTCTCAACTGAAGAGGATCTTGGCGCCCTCCCTGACCTGAGGGACATGGCCTTGAGTTCCCTATCCATGGCTGCTTTCACCCTTATCCCTTACCTGGATGTCACCATTAAATGTTCCAAAGCAAATTCTCAGGCCTCTTTTCCTGAACAGTACTTAAGTCAATATTTACATATTGTCTGCTGATTTGTTGTCCAAAAATCAAGGGAGAAGTCAGTGAAATTCTGTATCCTCCAGTATCAGCTGCAGATCCTGAGAGTCTCTGTTCTCTCCATTCTTATGTTGTCATACTTCTGCATAGGAGGATGGATCCTTCATCTTCTGCAGCATCAGAAGATTCCCTTCCACCCTGCCTGCATGCTAGTACCATGACCCAACAGTGCTCCGTGGTACAGCTATTCTGAAAGGGTCATCACCTATGCAATTACCAGGTGTTGTTGACAAGAAGAGTGCATCACTGGGTGGCATTCACAGTCCAGCTGTGACTTCAGTAATTCGTGTGTAGACTTGGTCTCAGCAACAGACTTCACCTCCATTGTGATATGCAAGGCAGTAAGTAGCCAATGAGAATTGAAGATGTATCTAAAGCAGCAAGCAAATGAAGGTACAGCTTTCAAATCAAAACTCTAAGCAACACTTTTTTTTTTTTTTTTTTTAAGCACACTAAATTTTAACAAGTTTGAGACTGGGTTTTATAACTCCTGTGAAAAAAGAAATTAGTTTTTTCTAATCAGAAAAATTGCTTTTTTTTCTTTTTTTTTTTTCTGTTTGTTTTTTGTTTGTTTAAAACAGAGATCTCATTAAATAGCCCAAATGCCCAGTGATCCTCGTGCCTCAGCCTCCCCCAAGTGCTGAGATTACAGGAATGCACCACCATGCCCAATTTAATTGCTCTGTTTTTTTCCCCATTGAGTTTATTGGTACACTTAATACAAACAATACAGTTACATTTACCATTGGGATCTTGTACCTTCACATTATGTATCTTGGTTCTTATTTTTCCCCATTTCCCTGCCCTGCCTTCGCCCCCTTCACCCTTCCCTATTTACAAAGACTTGGTTTCCATTTTTTCCTTTTAATCGCTCTATTTTTAAGAGAAAAAATAATGTTCTACTGATGAAAACCAGATTTAATAGTCTTTTTGGAAATGCCTGTTTCTGAGTTTTAAACAATTAAAATGGCCATACTGTGGCCCAGATCTATAATGCCAGTACTCAGGAGACTGAGGCAGGAGGATCACCACAAGTTTAAGGCTAGCCTGGGCTACAAAGCAAGATCCATCTCAAAAAACCTAAAGAAATAAGGAAATCAGCAGCTTCATTATTACAAAAAAAACCAACTTAAACTGTTCTGCTCCAATATCTATCAGCTTTTTGTGTTTTAAAGGAGGGGAGATTTATTTTGGCTTCTATCAGCATTTAAAGTATAGCCAGGGATTTAGCTCAGTGGTATGGTGCCTGCCTTGCAAGCACAAGGTCCTGAGTTCAACCCCTGGTACCAAAAGAAAGAAAAAAAAAAAAAACAAGCATTTAAAGTGTAAACATTAGGCTGGCAACGTAGCTCAGTGGTAAGGAGCAATTGCCTGGTATGCACAAAGCTTTGGGTTTCATCCACAGCAACAAACACACATACACACACACACACACCCATAAACTGGGGGAAATTTAGACAATGCAGATAATAAACAATAAAAAGTAATAATAATGAACCAAAAGAAAGGACCAAGAATGTCAAATCCATCTCTGTGATTATCTCATAGTCAAATCCAGTCAGCCAATTAGAATTACATGATGTTAACTGTGTTGAAAATAGTGTACTAATTTTTTTTTTTATAGTGCAGAGGACAGATGCCAGGGCCTTAGCACTGAGCCCTTTACCATGACCAAAAATAGTCTAGCAAACTGTATGGCAAAATTAGAGGGAAATACATGAATATCTGCATTCCATCTTAATTGCAATAAACAAATCACTGATATCAAACACTATCATTTAAAAACCACATTAATCTTGGATTTGAAAGTTTACAAGCATATGCATTTTAAATACTTGCAGAAACATAACACTAAATTCCCATTTGTGCCAACTTGTAGTCATGTTTAAAACTGAGGATAAAAAGCAGTATAAACAGTCTAATAATTACATAAGTTACATTAGCAGCTCCTCAAACACAGGTTGGGTAATACACTCCTGGGGAGGAAGTGTAAGACAGAGCATCACTACTGGCAGCGCTGCTAACTGACTCATTGTTTAATTAGGTCTGCACTTTAACTTTTTTTTTTTTTTTTTTTTTTTCCAAACTGGGACCTTGCACTTGTGAGGCAGGTGGCGGAACCAATTAAGCTAAATCCCCAGCCCCACATTAACTCTTCTTAAGCTGTGATACCCTTACCAATAAAATGAAGATATCTGTAAACACCCTCTTTTTGATTTTGCTGTTGCTGTTTATAGAACAATAGGGAGCCCAAGGTCTGGTGCACGCAAGACAAATGAACAAAAAGGATACGTGCAACTTTATAAAAGTCAATAGGAGGACGTAGAGAATTGTTTTGGAAGCTAAGGAAATGTCCCTTTCATTTCTTCCTATGAGAAAGATAAAGTAAACAAAATAACATTTTTTAATGCTTGGATATATATTAGAAGTTTCTGTGGATTTTGTTGGTGGTGGTGGTGGTATTGTGGATGGAACACGGGGTCTTTGCACTGAGCTACATTCATAACTCTCTTTTTCATTTTGAGACAGGAACTTGCTAAGTTGCTAAATTGACTAGATGGGCTCAAACTTGTGATCTTCCTGCCTCAGCCTCCCAGAGGTCTGAGATTCCAGGTATGTGCCACCACACCCAGTTTGAAATTTTTCTGTGTGGTTTATTAAAATCAGCTTTATTGTGATATGCGTTGCATACAGTAAATGTACCCTCAGGCAGATCCAGGCCATCACTGGTATTCTTTGTGTCACAATAGATTAGTTTTTCATCTACTAGAATTTCAGATCAATAGAGTTATGTGATAGTACTCCTGTATGTCTGATTTCTTTCATTTAATAGAATATTCTTTAGTTTCAGGAATGTTATTGTATGTACCAGTAATCTGTACTTCCTATAGTATTCTCTTGTTTGGGTACACCACTGTTTGTATGTTTTTCTTGGACATTTTCTGGCTTTGGTTTTGGTTTTTTGAGACAGGGTCTCGCAATGTAACTCAGGCTGGCATTGAACTCACTATGCAGCACAGGCTGGCCTTGAACTCACAGCAATCCTCCTGCCTCAGCCTCCCAAGTGCTGGGATTACAGACATATGCCACCACACGTGACACTACTGTTTGTTTATCCACTGCTATAGTTTGGGTGTTGATGTCCACTAAATAGCTATGCCTTAGAATCTTGATCCCAGGTGACACTATCAGGAGGTGATAGAATCACTGAGAAGTGAGGCTGTGTGGGAGTCCTCAGGTCATTGGGGGTGTCCCCTGAAGGGGATTATGGGACCCTGGCCCCTCCTAACTCTCTTGCTCCCTGGCCCAAAGATGAACAATTTTGCTCCACCAAACACTCCTGCCATGGGGTACTGCCTCATCACAGACCCAAAGAACAGAACCCACCATTATAAATGGGAACCTCCAAAAGGGAGCCAAAATAAACCTTTTCTCTGAAGTTGATTACTCAGGTATTTAGTCATAGAGATGGGAGGCTGACCATCCATTTATCCACTGATAAATGTCTGAGTAGTGTTCTGGTTTGGTTTTATTCTGTTCTGTTGTGATAGTGGGGATTGAACCTGGGGCTCTTCCTTTAAGCCACATCCCTAGCCCCTTTTTTATTTTTATTTTGAGACAAGATCTCACTTCAGTGACTTAAGATGCCCAGGCTGGGCTCCAACTTGTGATCCTCCTGCCTCAGCCTCCTAGAGTGCTGGGTTAACAGGTGTGCGCCACTGAGCCTGACTTTGCTATAGTGTTTTTTTTTTAAGTTAAATTTAAATCTTTATTCCTCTCTGTAATATCCTTAATTTTAATGTAGAGATATTAATTGACAAATAGAGATTGTGTATAGTCAGTGAATACAATGTGTTTAACATTCTGAATTTTTAATTCTATTTCCTTTTTTAAACGAAAGTAGTGTAATAATGCCTATTTTACTTTTTATATTTTTTACCTACTTTCTGAAAATTTTACACTTGATTTTATAATGGAAAAAAGAATAAAGTTCTCTTCAGTGCTTTCAGGGTGGTAAAGTTATCACTTTTTACAAAATTAATTTAAAAGGGAGAGAAAAAGCTATGTTATTCAGAAACATGCAGCAGAAAGCTACAGTAAAAGGCAAAATACACTGGTAGATAATTTCAATCCAAATATGAGAGAACTTCACAATCACACTTTAATTTCCTTCTAAAGTCAGTACAGCAGACGCATATATTTTAGTAATATAAACTTAAACTATAATAAATGCAATCACCTTTCTTCTCTTTCTTTTCTTTCTTCACTATCTCAGCTGCAAAATTTTCTTTGAGTTTCTGGCATAAAGGCTCTTTATCTATTTCAGCACTGATTTTTATGAGAATATTTTCTAGTTCTGAAAACCTCTGTTCCGACAAAGGCCAGTTGTCCAAGAAGCCTATAATTCTCTTTTGCATGTGATCTTTTAAATCTGGTACCCATGCTTATCTTAGTTTTCAGCAGCACCATGTTGACCAATATCTTTATGAGCCATTTCATGTGAAAATTCTTCAACTATGATATCATTCATGTGATTCAGCAAGAAAGTATCTGAAAATACCTAGTAATATGAAAAAAATCAAATGTGGAAGAGCGAAGAGGTACTTCTTTTGAAGTCGTAGGATCCACAGCCACTGTGGATATTTGGGTCTTCTTTGCCTCCATTTCTATGAGGTTTCTATTGCAGCCGGTGAGAGCTTCCTCTAGAAGCTGTGCTTGGCTTAATGTCATTGGAAAATGACCAAGGATCCACCCTTGATTCACAGCATCTCATTAATAGCACTTACTGTGATGTTAACTAATAATGTGTCTGGAATGTTCTTTCCTTTCTTCAGCAATTGTTGTGACTTTGCACCAAGCTGAGCACATACAGTGAGTTTAGAGAAATTATCACTATCACTTCATTTGACTTCTTCAGTTTTTGGTATGTGTACTAGATGTAGTTTCCCCTTCTGTTTCTGGTAATGGTTCACCTGCAACTGGAGCATCTGAAGATACCTTGTGTGAGTTCTGGCTTTCTTTACTGTCTTCCTGCGGATCTGATGGAGCCTTCCTACCTTCTTTCTGAAATGGTAGGTCCTCACTGACTTTTTCATTGTCATAAAATATTTGGGCAGCCTCTTGGACAAGAGTGTCCATACAGAGTACCTGAATAGGAAACTTTCTTTGTAGAGTCTTTAAAATGATAGTTTTCCCACTGTTTTCCCCACTTAGCATCCTTTAATAGCAAATGAAGGCAGTGCAGGCTCTGTTGGCTCAACTTGAGGAGGAAGAAATTTTTCAATGCGTCTGTGAAGCACATGGCCCAGTATGGAATTGTTGGAAAGTGGTAAATTATCCATCATTTCTTTTGGTATGGGCCACTCTCCAG